AGAAGAACGAACGAGAAAAGAAAGAGCGAAAGAAAAACCCTAGCAGAGGGTGGTAGTGGAGATGAACAGGCAGCACGATGGCCGGAGGGTCAGACTGAACACGCCGTGAAGGCCGCGCCATCCACTTGTATTGGCTTCAAATACGACCGAACGGCCGAACGGAAGCGTGCCACAGCTGGAAAATGCGAGTCAGCGTCGGCGGGAAGCCACATACAGGATGAGCGCTACCGTTTGTTATACAGACTCAGACACTCCGCGAGTGATAGCAAGGTGCCCAGTCAATCTCAGAGAACGTCTAGCCTCTAGCGGTCTTGCGGGGTTCAAACGCGCTGCGAGGCCGACGGGCACGCTTCCTTGGCCGGCGTCCAGACTCTTCGCGGCAGACGTCTAATGGCTTTCGCGAGTGTGTCTGTCGTAGTGCAGGGCAGAGATCTCCGTCACCACCTCAACAAACCCGCCACAAATGCAGACGTAGTCAGGCACTCTAGGGTCAAGTGTGAATCAACGTAAGGAAATGTCCGTGGCGTCCCCTGACAAGCGAGCTTGCCTGATCGCGTCGAGTCTAACCGCGCGCTAGCCCTGGCATGTTAAAGGACTTGTGTCCACCTTGTGTGGGACAGCCCTACGAACCCCTCCAACATGCCGGGTCTCACGATACCAGTGCCATTCCCTGGGGATGTTCCTACCCACCCCCTCTTAGTGATTGACTTTACACTCGTTCAGGCAGGTTACCCCGAGGAACTTGACAGATTATGGAAAGCCGCGACCGAACTTGGTTTTTGGTAGTACGTGCTCCCGGTGGCGAACTTAGGCACACTAGTGTGCATGACTGACGGTTTGCGTAGTCTGAAGAACCATAGCCTTGACGATGAGGTAGCCAAAATGTTCCACGTATGCGCTGAAGCATTGGACCTGCCATTGGAAGAGAAGATGAAGTTCGAGCAAGGCGACAGTGGAGATTCATTCGGGTCAGTCCACTGCACCTCCGTCCACATAGATCGACATCTCACAGCTCGTAGATACAAAGCTCGAGGCACGATTGCGACTGATAAAACTGGCACACGCGACAACGTCGAGTTTTTAAACATTTCGCAAGATGACGCCCTTTCCTGGCCCCGCGTTACCCATCGCACCTACCCATCTATTGTGAACGAGCACATGGAGGACACCTTTGTGCCCTTCGTCAGAAAGTCGGTCGACGTCAACAACACTTTCCTATCTTTCTTCGAGCAGCGGCTCGGTCTTCCCCAAGGTGAATTCAGTCGACTGCACGACCCTCGCCGAGTCAACGGTGGCGAAGCGCGATGCATCAGGACGCCGCCAAAGCAGGAAACCACAGGCGTGGGAGCACACACTGACTTCGGGTCGCTCGTGAGCAAGCATCTGATTCCGTCTCGCGGTGAATGACGCATTGTATCAGGCAATCGTGCACAACCGCCTCGGAGGGTTGCAGGTTATGCCCCCTGGGACAGATCAGTGGCTTTACATCAAGGTTATGATAGATTGGGACGCTGCTGATATTTACTCCGGGCTGACGCTACGTGTTAGCCGGTACCCGGCTATGCCGTATGTAACATCGGTGACACGCTGGCCATTTTCAGCGCAGGAATATTGCGCTCGAATGTTCATCGAGTCATGTGCGTAGCCGAACTTTGCGCTCAGTGATTCATGCTCATTTGCCACGCTAGGCCGCCTCCAGGAGAGCAATCACAGTTTCCGAGATATTCTATAACCTTCTTTACGCGACCCGACTATGAAGTCGTCCTCAGGGCGTTGCGGGATCAGAGCCCTCTCATAGCCGAGGCTGCGGCGAAGGTGCCTGAAGGTCAGTACGAAACAGGGTCGACTGCAGGTGAATGGGTTGCACGCAGGATTCGCAATCTGAGGTTGAAAAACAGAGAGGTATGATTGTATCACCGCGCCGTGCAGCGCTTGCTAATAGCGTTGTTTGTCTAGGGATGGTTCGGGAGCCAAGGCACTGAGCATGAAGGTGTTAAAGGTCGTTGAACTACGTGCGACGGACATCGGTCTGCTTCCTAGCGTCGCTGCTTCGTATGATCAAACCAAGACCCCAATGCAATTCAGCTTGACGAAAGCGCCACATGCTAGCGCAGTTATGGATACGTGAATGAACGGGTCGGGGTCGGGGGTGCAGTGATGTGCACGTAAAATGTAACGTTTACTCAGGCAGCCTGTCAACGACCACAATTGGGCCCAGCTCTGTTAGCATGGTGAGTCCCAGAGCAAATCACTACGGGAAAAGTTGAGTGCTCACTATTAGCATGGCGGTACTCTTGTTCCTGAGCAGTACGATGGATCTCCTTAACACCTTTTGCGCCCACCCATCCCCTGCGGCCCAGCTCACTCAAGCCTTTTAAACCTAGTACGAAGAGTTGAGAATGATTCCGTTGGTCTTTTTCAAGGCCGCCCGAACAATCTTCCGTAACTCAATATGCTGGCTCCAGTCCCCAAGCCTGTAGTGAATAATATACCTGGACCTCGAACACGAACATAGCAGGGGAAAGAAGAACGGCAGCAGGAAAGACCAGCGGCAGCGGGCGAAAGGTGAGATTGATGTGAGACGGCACTCAAGCTCTGGAATGATACTAATTTATTGTTCTAGGTGGCTAACCTCGTCTTTGTCAAGTTATGATTCAAGAGAATATGACGTCCTCGGCGCGTTAGCTACTTTCGGTACACTGGCCGCTGGAAACAACCCTCGTTCGCTGGTTGCATCAATGGCTCTTTGGCATTCTGTCTTCTTCGCCATCAAAACGACACAGCCAAAAGGGCTAATTATCCTACAGCTGGGGCGCAAAGTTGCTGCATGACTGGTGCGTCATGTCGGGGTGAGGGAGCACTATGGTGCCTATCGTCGAAGCGGACTGAGAGCACTTCCTCTCCACAGCTCTGAGAGCATCGTCTGGCTGCGGCTCCTAGAATCTGTACATACAGCCGGTGAGAAGTTGTAGTCCTAGCGATGCAAAGCGCTACTCACTCTTTCGTGGATCGTTTTGGTTAATTGCTGTTTGCCAGACCTCTCGTGCGTGCGGCTTATGGAACCAGCCGCTCTTGATGCAAGTCTCGAACACATACTTCGCCCAGTCGCATGCGCACCCGATCGGCTGCGTCTCGCGCTCAATGACATCAGCGGCGAGGCCCTCCAATGACTGGCGACGTAGAAGGCTGAGACGGCCCAGGTAGTATTCCTTCATGTAGTGCCCGTCTCTCCCTGACACCATGGTCTGCAACTCTGCGACGTTGACACACAGCGTGCGCAAGAACCAGCTCGCGCTGCTGTCTTGCTCGATACGGAGGATGCGCCGCACGGAAGGGAGGCCGGGGACGTCCCAGGCAAAGAACCATTCCCCGGTGGTCGCCGTGGCTAGCTTTTCTGCGCAAAGCCAGATCGTCGCGTCGTTGTCCGTGTCACGATAGGCGTCCGGAGATTTGAGAGCTCTGGAGCTGTACCAGGTTGAACGCTTAGTATCTTCTGTAATGGGCATGTCGTAGGCAGGGAAGATTAGGAGCGACGACTGAGATGTACCGAGGCACATGTGAGATACATAGGGGGCTTTTATGCATTCGCTTTGTGGGTTCGGTTTTTCCAGACATCTACGGCGAGACGGATCCTTTGTCTTCAGCCGCACTTCGTAAGTGAAAAGGGTCATCTGTTGTTCCAAAGCCACCGCTCGCAACGGGAGCTTGATATTCCGAAACATAGGACGGTGTCGCTCGCTCAGTAACGAAGGCTCGCGCTCTGCAGGCAAAGAGATAGATTGAAGAAATTTGATGCGCTGCACACCAACAAGGAGAGGTGACTGTAAATTCAATTAGATTTCTGTCATCATGGCTCTGGTAAATCTGGCGGCTGAGAAAGAGACATGAAGTCAGATATCGCTCTTAAACCAACGTCACCCAATCCTGCACCTTGTTCATTCTGTACGTCTGCCTCCCATGTGATATTGTCAAGCC